CTCTCTCTCTCTCTCTCGGTTGTCACTGCAGCAGCAGCGTCTACCGCCCCCTCTGGTCGTCTCTTGTCATGGCAACAAAGGTGGTTACACGGAGGGCTGGTGGCCGTAGGAGGGCGCGCTCGGCCCGTGTTCAGATCATCGGACACACTGCATTTATAATGTGATCTGTGAATGTGAATGTGAAAGGTCATCCTCTGATAATGTATAATATGTTTAGGGTTAAATGGAGAACGTGGGAGGCACAGTCTCAGCATCCCACTCAAATAGAAGGTTTTTACGCTGATGGAAAGTAATTGTACATTTGAAATAACGATGCCATTTGCGGGTACTTGCAGGCTCTACTTTAAGAATTATATTTAAATATTATGCTAATTTATACTCGTGCTCCACTGTAATTCTGAGGGAAACATTGTAGCCTGCATTTTACTCCTCAACAAATGTTTGATAACCTTAAATAAATGGTCACAACACATGTCCACAAATACTTTCCTGCAGAGCTAAGAAGGCATCATTGGAAGGGGTGAAAGTTTACCAGCACCAGCAGACACTATGATTTGGAGTTCTGAAGAAATATCTATATTATTGTGTGAGAATGTTTTTCAGGCCCAGACTGATTGGTGTCCAATTAGTGTATATGTATATGTATGATATGTTTTCTTGTGTGGGTGTGTGTTTTGTTAATTTTAGGTGTGTTTTGCATTTTGAATAGAAGTGTGTCCCAGTTTTGCAAAAAAAAAAAAAATTGCAAAAAGTCTGTTGCAGAATCGCAAAGAAAGTGGAAAGCAGAAAATGTCATGGTAATTTTGGTGCCTTTGTTTAAGAGACGGTCATAAAAGTTAACGGTTTAATTATTGACTTTTAGTGTGTAAGCAATCCGCAAAAACTGTAAACTACACTGCTGTTCGTGTAAGTACACAGTGACAGTGTTAAGTTCACTTGAGACTTGGACCCCAAAGCAAAGACACACTCTCAGGTGAGGAGATATTTTAATAGAAATCCAAAAACAAAA